ATGTCCGGTTGTAGAGAACTTGAACTAAACTTAATTAAAATGAATCAACCGCGTGTGTAGCCATGATGGTCTCTTTTAGGTGGAGTCTAGGAAGAGGACATGGTCTCGTATTATGCTTGAACGTAAGTAGTTTCAGGATCACTTCCTGATCATTTTAGCTTCTCGACCGTGCTACGCTTCTCTTCTCGCTCTCTTTTGCGTAAGTTAGCCATCATATATGCTAGTGTTTGTTGCAGCTCCACCTCACTACCCTTTCCTACCTTTAAGCTTAAATAGTTTTGATCGCGAGGGTGTGAGATTGCTGAGTCCCCGTGACTCACAGATATTTCCAAAACAGATGCATGTGCCGATGATGCCAGTGCAGGGGACGCTACCGAACTCGAGTGGGAGTTCGACAAGGATTCATGACGTTACTATGTGTCTTTTCTGGATGATTAGTAGAGGAGCCCAGTTGGGGCGATCGGGAATCTAGCATTTGGGGTTGTCTTCTTTTATTTTGGTTCCGTAGTCGGACCTTGATTCTATTCTGGATGATGTATGTTTAACTTGTATTTGTGTGAAGTGGCGATTGTAAGCCAACTCTTTATCCCATTCTTATTCAGTACATGGGATTGTGTGAAGATTACCCCACTTGCGACTAAACTACCATGCGGTTATGCCTCTAAGTCGTGCCCCGACACATGGGAGATATAACCGCATTGTGGGTGTTACATGGCACCCACAGGCGCCACGACGCCGGTGTTGGCCATGCCGATAGGGGTTTTCCCCGATCCCAACCCGCACCTCGGGCGCCCTGGAGCCTGCCACCAAACCAACCACCACCGTGCGCCAATGCGGTCATGAGGCCCCCACGCCGTCTCACCACGGCACCGCGAAGTGAGGACAGCACGATGAAGAATCAGAGCCGGGACTAGGGCAACAGCATCGTCGGCACGCGGGAAGGCCGCACCTCCACCGTCCGCGACGGTAGCCGTCCGGACGCAATAGCAGGAGCACACCAGGCCCATGGGCCCACAGACCCGGCCGAGCCCTCGTGGGCCCGTAAAGCTCCTGCCTTCGCGCTGCTGCCGGCACACCATCGGTGCCGCCGCCCGAAATCCGAGCCGCTCCTCCTCCTCACCGCGCCACAGACAACGAGGCCATGCCCGGGGGCCGGCCCGCTAGGACCCAGATGGGGCCCTAAGGGCCCAGAACTGGCCGGGGACGCGTCGTCGGCCAACCTGCGCCACCAGGCCGCCCCGTCGCCAAAGGACGGCGCCACCACTGCGACGGGCCGCCGCCAGCCGCCACCAGGCCGTCGGGTCGCCCGTCAGCTGAAGGGCACCCGCCGCCAGCCCTATCCCCGGGTCAGGAGGAGCGCG